ATGAATACGTCATCTAGCAATAGGAGGAGGTAAAGATATAAAAATTATATCTTAAGATAGGGTAGTTAGGTATGGATTCTTATCGGATTTGAGATGCAGAGAGAAGAGAAAAGTGATATACTTTTAAGAGAGAAATTTAGAAGAACAGTAAGACAGAAAATGAAGGTGAGACAGCAAAATAAGGTGTGTTTCTAATGGAGAATATTGCAGGTGAGCAACAGAAGAGAAGTTTGGAAAGGTAGGTTGTGGTCAAATCACAGAGGACCATGAGGCTCAGCATGAAGATACACTGAAGGTTTCTGAATGAGTAGGTGCTATGATCTGCCCTGTATAGTATAAACAGACAGGGGAATGAAGGACATGGTTGTCAAGGGACAAGAATGGAGATAGCTGGCCTTGCACGGAGGCTAGGGCAATTGTATGAGCAAGGCACAGACTTGTACGAGGCCGGGATGAGGGTAGTAACCAAGAGGGAACGAGTAAAGGATGGGAGGGGAGTGGATTCTAGCACCTGAATAGACATATGGACTGAGATAGAAGAGGCAGAGACACCTAGAAAGTTTCAACTCTGTGAAGTGCAGGACCAAAAATGAAACTAGGAAAGACAGGGGAAAAGTTGGGGATGATGGTCAAGGTTAGGCTTTTCTTTCTTTTTTTCTCTTTCTTTCTTCTGTTCTTTTTTTCTTTCTTTCCTTTTTTTTGAACTTGTAAAACAGAGGTGCTGACAAGCCACCCAAGTTAGTGACCGATAAGTCATGGAAAGTCAGGTCAGGTTTTAGGCTGGAAATGTGGAATGCTGAGACATCTAGGCACAAGTGATGGTTGAAGCCATGGAGGAATGTTGTGTTACCATTCACCAATTTCTGCTTCCCTTCCCTGGAGGAGATTATTCTTCCCTGCCCATGATAATCAAGCTTGACCATGGGACTTGACAAAGTAAAGTGAGAAGAATATTAGATGTCCTTTCCATTAAGAAGCTTCGAGAGCCTATTGATTCACAATCTTTTTTCTCCCCCTGCTATAGAATTGGTAATGTCCAGCTAGTGACTCCTTCATTAGCCTAGCCTGCAGTTAGTTAATCTGGAAAAAAAAACACAGCTAATATGTAGTGTGAGGGAGAAATAATTAGTTGTTGTAAAAGCCACTAGGATTTGGAGGTTGTTTATGACTGCAGTATAAACTAGCCTAACTTAATTGATAGACCATGGGAATGAATAAGATTACCCAAAAAGGAAAACTAAAGAAAGATCAGAAGATGACCAAGCCTGGGACTTAATTCTATGATTGTGAATTTGTTATTTCACAGGAAGAAGAATGAGCTACATTTGCTAAGTTACTTTGGGAATACTTCTTAATTTTTCTCACTACTTCTTCTGTGTAAAAAAACCTCACATTTAAAAAAACCTTGCTAGATGAGACAAAATCATTCTGGCCATATTTGGAAATGTTTGCTCTTTGAATTATTCTCTGATGATTAGCAACCATTCTTACGTACCAACAATTTTGAGTGTTTGATATATTTTTAAAAATATTATTTTTGTCTGGAAATTTTTCTTTGTGTAAATTCACTACTAGCACTCTTCATTAGATCATGAGAAATAAAATTATGCTTTAATGTTAGGGAGTCCCATCCTGCCTAGAGGTAGGGGAACTAGGCTTTCTGTGAGCGGTTGGTGGTTGATCACCGAATATTATCTTTTGCTCACCATGCCAGCAGGCAGATTGACATAAGCAATGACCAAAAAAAAAAAAAAAAAATCCCAAAACTATAGTTCGTGAATAAGAGCTTACCCTACACATCATGTAGACATATTTGTTATCCTAAGGCAGCAATTAAAACCCATAATATATGATTTAGGAATTTAAGAGAAATTGTTTGTCAAAATTATTTTTATCAAGTAGATATGCAGTGAAACTTTGCTCATTATGACTATTCTACTTGTATTTTAGAGAATCCCAGGAAAGCCTCCAAATCAATGCTCTAATTCAAGCCCACACCACTTCTTGTCCTTTTCACTATTGTTGTCCACTCTTCTTTAAGGTGCTCATCTATCAAACAGTTGTATACTTAGCATTTTTAAAAGCAGTTAGCTTTTTTATATTGCTGGATTATTTTTATTAAGAATGATTTTGTAAAATTAGTAAAATGCGATTTAATGCATCTATATCTTTTATGTATGGATAAGACCAGAAATCACAAAACAACTTTGTGTATTAAGCAGTATAGTTAAAATTTTTTATTGTTAAAAAATACATGATCTTTGATTCTAGAGTCTTATCTCTCTCTCCTTCTGCCTCCAAGTATTTAACTATTCTAGAAAACTAGCTCAGAGACCCATCTTGTTTTCAGGGTTGTATTTCTTCCTAATCAATACGAAGAAGCAGACAGTAATAAAAAGGACAAGTAATAGTTTTAAGAAAATTCCAATTTGTCAGCATAGGTGCATCTGATTTATATCGCAATACAAATGGGTAAGAAGGCTATAAAATGACAGGAGCTTTCTTGGGCTACTTCTCATGGGTAGTTTTGTGGAAATCCCAATTTAAGGATAGAATTCAGCTTAAAACATCTGGTGAGTGTGTTGAAATTGTTAGTCTTTCAACTTATATGACTTTTTTTCCTGGGTATAGTTTCCCATGGATTAGGAAGGCAATGTACTTCTGATGCTCATAACGTTCTTCCTTTGGCTTTAGGATATCTGTACTAACTTTACAGACTTTGCTATCCTTTCTGTCCTTCTGGAATTTTCTTAGCTTCATCTTGAAAGGGTATGTCACCATTTCAACACCATTCCAACCATTAGATAAATGCTGGCCTCTCCGCTAAGAATGTTTATTTTATGTAGGTTCTCACCACACCCCAATCCAAAACCTATTTCCATTTAACTTCTGAAAGGACAGAACCTTCACGACTGCCATCCTTTCCATACGAGTTTCTGAGACTGAGGGATGGAGGTATATATTCATAACTCATTTATTATTCTAGTTTCCTAGGATAGTTAAATACTTGGAGGCAGAAGGAGAGAGAGATAAGACTCTAGAATCAAAGATCATGTATTTTTTAACGATAAAAAATTTAACCCTACTGCTTAATGTGCAAGGTTGTTTTGTGATTCCTGGACTTATCCATACATAAAAGATATAGATGCATTAAATCACACTTCCCTAATTTTACAAAATCATTCTTAATAAAAATAACCCAGAGACAACACACATGGGAACCTTTCTTAACCCAAGTTAGCAGTTTTACCACTGTGTACAAATATATTTTTAAATGATGAGAATCCTCAATTTAACAGGGATTTTTCTTTTTTCATTTTAAAGGGGATTCAAGGTAACCCAAATAGCTATTGATAAAAATATCTAAGAACAGAGAAGACTGGGGACAAGCAAAAACTTTACATCAAACCCCATCTCTTTATATCAAGCTAATTTCTTTGTTCTTCCTACCTACTATCTTTTTGCAAAAAAAAAAAAAAAAAAAAAAAACTTTATGGTAAATATGGCTTTAGGGATCCCAGTTTGTACCCTGATACCTAGGAGCAGAAATTACACTCACCTGCCTCATTACTGCTCATTCCCCTACAGCCCCCAAAATAAGGCAGTGAATTTTCAGTTAATAGAGAAAAGATTAATGCTTTCTTGATAAGGTTTTAAATCTGAATTAATAAGATGGCATAATCCAGTTCTTGCTCTGGATACTAAAGAATTGAACATGACAAGCACTTTTTTTTCCCTTTAGTATGTTGTGACACAAAATTGGATGAATCAGAGAACCAAAGGAGTGAAAGAAAATACAGTGATTCAATAGGTATTTTACTCAGTAACTACACCATGCTAGACCAGGGTACAAAGATGACAGTTGCACTCAGCCTCAGAGAGGACATGGGGATCTCAGGGAGTGTGCGGCATAATGCATCTACCAATAATATACTTCGGTAAAGGACATGACATGTGTCATGGGAACTCAGAGCGAATATCATTATTCCTTACAGATTCACATAGAAGCAAGCATCTCTCCAGAACCTTTGAAGAGCATATATGTGTCTAATCAATGCCACCATGTGTAATAAAGTTGCTTTAATCTGTTCTATTTGTTCACTGTAGCATTTTACATTTTCATCAGTTATGGCTGGAAGATTCTCTTCTACTTAAGATATTACTATTGATGATGATAAAAATGCTTCCTGACCATTGTCATTTGTAGGGATTAGAAAACAACCGACATGTACCAGCCATGGTGTTCTAGAAATTGATTTATTAAAGACACATCTATGAATCACACAGGACCTCTTTTTATGTAAATATTGAGGACCAGTGGTCTTATATTTAAAAATGCCAGCTTCGGGAAACCCCACGGGCTTCCCCTGCCATGAATAAACTGGTTGCTTGCAGGAGCTATCCCAAGAGGTCATTCAGAGGCCATTATTTCACTGTGAAGACTCTGTTTAAAAGAATAATTGGTATCAATAACACTTACCTGTGTATGCAGAGGGAAGGTTACCCAGACATAACAAGCCCAGAATCACACAGCCACTACTTAAAACAATGCAGGGTTTGGGATTTATGAGAATAAGTCCTGTCAGTAATAATGCCCTTACCGGGGCCTTCTTGATTCATTTGGCATCCGCTGCCATGTACTCACAGTCAAATCTGCCATGCGGTTATAGGCTAAGGTGCTGCATACAAGACATAAACGATACCCACTGAAAAGATTTACTTCTCAAAAACATGACTTCAAGTGCCTTTATGCTTTTGTGTTCCTCTAAAACAGCCACAGGACCATTTCAAATGTAAAATCTGCAATATAACTAGTGATTATCTTAAACAGTTGCTTAGGGGGATTGGAAAAATGAGGAGAAACAATTACCATTACGCAGAAAGATGGATCGAGCATGAATCAATGTGGCAGGAACATAAGGAAACAGACACGGGGCTAGACAAGGGAAGGGACCCCCAAACAACGATGATGACAACAACAACAAAGATCATCGCTTAACCTGTTTTGTCAGAGCTGGTATTGATGGTATTGGTAGTGATGGAGGTGAAGGTAGTCTTTGCGCTGTCCTTGGCAGTTACAGATTTCTGCTTATTTTTCATGGCTTCCAGTGCTTTGAGCTTCTTGGCATGTTTCGTGCCTTTGTAGTGGGCCGCAGCCTGGCTCTACAAAGGAGAACAAAATGAACCATGCAATCAGGCTCATTTCTAAACTGGCATTCTCTGTATTACTGCAAATACAGACTCCCTTTCAATAATAGGTACCATTCAAGCTAATTCTGGCAGTTGCCAAACAGTAGGGCTCTATTTAGAATGATGCTAGAAAGCAATGGGAATCAAGTTCTGAAACCTCGGGACCGAAGGAAGAAATATTCTATCGTTTCTCTTAAGAGAAATGTAGCTGAACATTAACACGTCAATAACATTTTCTTGGTGGAGTGGGGGAAAAAAAAAAAAAAAGAATCTATACCCATATTGCTTTTGTTCTGCCACAGAAGATGCTGGGCTCCCAAAGATTAACAAGGGCCCCAGAAAAGAGTAACTCTCTTGGCTCAGGAAATGTGTTTTCTCTTTCTACAATGTATCTTATTAATATGATCCCCAACAGGTGTCTACAAGGAAAAGTTCACATATAACAAGGGAAGTGGGCACCCTGGAGACTAAGATTGAAGCGTTCAAAAGCAAATGCACTAAGTCCAGATGAAGTACACAGAAGTTGGGCAATTTCCTGATCCTTTCTTACTCCTTGCTTCCTACAGAGGTAGCCTGAGAAATTAAATGGAGTGGCATTCCTTAAACATGTGGGTCTTTCATGCAGGAGGCTCCAGTGTGTTTTGACTACTTAATGGGGCCAATACTATTCTTTTATCCATGACTTCTGAGATTTGAACAGTAATATACATTTTTTCCAAGTTTACATTTTCTTAACACGATTTTGTTGTTGTTGTTCTTACTAGAGACACATTAATTGAGATAGAAAATCATTTTAAAGAATTCTGTGTTTATTAATGTTCACTGGAAGAAAAGAAGACTTGGTGGCTTGGGGTGGGATGGGAGTGGGCCGGGAGATTCTTAGATCAGCTCAAAACCCTTAAAAAGTCTCACAAAGAAGAAATCTCAGTGGAGGACTATATCAGTTAGACTACCTACCACTTCCCACGACTTATTTAAACTCCATGTTCTACTCCATGTTCTGGCTCCATTTTGCCAGAAAAATAATAACCACACTGTCCTCTTTGTCACAGCAATGGTGGGTAGGTAGGGTTGCAGTATAATATCTTTTTATAAATAGATAAATAAATAATCCACACCTTCATTTGCATCATTCTGACAAGTATTCTCAAAAGACTAGGTACCCTTATTGAAAGAACACTGGACAAGGAAATTATATTAGAAACAGTCTGAACAGAGAGGACACTCATGCATCAGTTACAAGTTTTCCAACAACACATAACATCAAAGGACACAGTGTGAGCCAAAACGTGAAGTCAAGACTTGCTATAGTTAACTGAAAAACTAACTAGTGATAGATTGGATTGAGTTGATTCTACATAAAGAATGCCACTTTGATGGACAGAGTTGCATCCCCTTTTTTCCTGCTTAGTTCTCCTTTTTAATAAATCGAGTCCTTTGGCCCTATCTTTTGAGGACAATATGCTATAGTCAATTAAATCCACAATATAGAGAGTCATCTTCTCTAGGCAGCTGGTTACGTGTTTTCCTGTAAAGCGAAGTTCCTCTCTTCTCTCTGTCGGCATTCCTACCCTTGACACAGAAGTGAATGTTTTATATATAATACACATTAAAAGACAGGGTTTAGTTTAACAATGCTATCTGCACTTATACCTCCAAAATATACATTTTAAGGCTTCTAGCAAATCTTCATCCTCAGTAGTATTTCAAATCAGACAAGACTTTGTTTTAACACACCATAGGACCAGGTGAATGTCGCTATTTTGGATATTCGGAAACTTACTCCAAAAAAACCCCTGCAAGTGAAGAAAGTACTTACGCCCCCAGAATGTTCTCTGTGCAGGTACAGCTAAGCCAATGCTTTCAACCAGTGAAATGGCTCAGGGAGTCATGAGGAGAAGGGGGGTGATAGAATGAGCAATATTTGGTGGTGGCCTCCCAAGTGAAACACCTGATCCATTAAAAACATGATAAAAAATGCACACTCACTTGAATACTTGAATAACAGTCCCAAAGCATCTTGATAATAATTATTTTAATTAAAAATTATCTGACTTAAAAAAAAGGTAACTAAGCCTTTTCTAAATTTGAAAACAACAACAACAACAACAACAAAAAACAAATGAAGATCCAAAGCGCTATGGAAAGATCAGGACATGTAAAATTTAGGGGAAAGATAAAGTATAGAGGGGTTGACTGCCCTGGAGGTGATCAATGTGATTATGATGATGAAGGGCATATGTGTTGGGGGAGGAGGTGGATATACAAGTTGGAAACTGAATGTAAACAGATAACTCTTTCTGGATATTTTACATTTCCTTTGTCATAGACCTTTATTTAATGTTTGTAGAATTTATTGTACTGCTCTTGGATTATACTGGTATACATTTTTCTAGTCAATGCATATTGACCCCATAACTTCTGATCCATCTTGATACAGGTGTGTTGTATAAAGGTGTGTTCCTTGCGTAAAGGAAGTACACCCAGCGAGCTCTCTTTACCCCTTTTGGCCACTTCCTGGACTGAATAAATTATTCAGCCCCATCTAATATTTCTGTAACTATAGACAAAGCTGGGAGATTTTTTTTTAAAGCAGTAGTTGGTCAGAGATATTTCTTTGGGCCTCAGCTGCTTTTCCTTTGGGTAGAGAGGCACTGGATGCACCCTACCACCCCATATTCCTTCTGGGGTTGTTTCTATTATTAGCCAGTCTCTGAATCAAGTCACTCCCAGAAACCTGGGAACCATCAGACACAAGCAAACATTATTTTGTCACAAGAATGGCTTCGAGGTTAAATAAGTGTGCTATTTCATTATGGCACATTTCAGCATTCTGTATTTTAAAACTGAAACAGAATCAGATGATCATAGTACACACAGAAGTGAGCAGAACAATAGATATGGGGCTTTGACAACTTCTTTTTAAATAATGAGTGTAGTATTAGGGTACTGTACAATAAACATTACTACTACCGACCTTGAAATAGCACATGACAGCATGAAATCTAACAAGTGTCATCCCAGAGGCAAGTGCTGACATTAAAGATACGCACACACATTCCTGTAGAATAGAATGATGCCACTTTAAATGTCATCACCACATCCCAGTCATCAGTAGCCGGTCAGGCTTTCTCATCTTCAAATTTTATCTTTAGTATTTCACAATGGCTTCAAGTTTAAATGCAACTGAAGTCCCAAAGTAGACAAAAATAATTGTCAAATGACCAAAATTGGGAGAGGAATCTCGTTCTTTTGAAAGACACATACACACATTTATTTTACTGATCTAAGTGGGAGGCCAATTGATAAATCGCTTTTATCTTATGAAACTCAATGAGTAATTTTATGTTAATATTCATCTATCATTTTATCTCATTAGCACCAATACATTGTACATTTTTACTCTACCTCTCTTTAATATGAGGTGTCTTAATATGATTTTTAAAAACTAAGTTTATTGTTAGCACACACATCTAGTTCCCATAGCCAGCTAGTTTTCATGAACACATGTGATTTCAAAAGGAACATGGTAGTCTTTGTTAGTTTGCGATATCAATGTAATTTTGCCACATATGAAATTGCATTAAAATTAAATGAACATTATCATAATAAAAGGTAACATCAGAAAAAGAAAGAGTAGTTATTAGAGAAGTTGTAATCCTTTTTGAGTGGGGGAGAGATAATACTTGAGCTACAGGAATTTTTTCTTCCTTCCCCTTCCCCTTCCTTCCTTCCTTCCTTCCTTCCTTTCCTCCCTTTCTGTCCCTCTCTCTTTCTTTCTTTCTAAGAAATTATCTGATATTTTTAATTTTAGCTTAGATTATCGTTTCAAGATAAAGAGGAAAATAAAATGATAAAACATGATATCGTATCCTAAACTCTAAAACACTTACTTTAGATTTACATTTTAGGAATTATTAAAAATTACTTCAGGGAAAAGTTCAACATTTTGATTTATCTATGTACAGTTGTTTTTATGTTGTATATACTCATTCAAATGTAATACTGAGGCAGTGTTTACAGACTCAGCCCTATAGGTTAGGGCCATTTTAAATTGGTCAGCAGCTTATTAAATATTTTGAATATCACTTTTGTATATACCAATCCTTAATGTATCTTAATTCTTTTATTATCAACTCTCAGCTTCATTTAACATTGATATAAATAAAGAATTAGTTCTCAAAGTGTGGTCCCCAGACCAGTATCAGCAGCAGCAGCTGGGGTCTTGCTATAAATGCAAATTCTCACTGTCCGTCCCAGACTACTGAATCAGAAACAGTGGAGCTGGGGGGCTTAGTAATGTGGGCTTTACAACCTCTCCAGGTGCTTATAATGCATACTAATGCTTCAGAACCACTCATCTTAAATGTGTTAGAACATTTTCTTCAAAGATGGTCCCTTCTTACATCCAAATGGCCAACAGACACATGAAAAAGGCTCAACATCGCTCGGCATCAGGGAAATCCAAATCAAAACCTCAATGAGATACCACCTCACACCAGTCAGAATGGCTAAAATTAACAAGTCAGGAAATGACAGATGTTGGCAGGGATGCAGAGAAAGGGGAACCCTCCTACAGTGTTGGTGGGAATGCAAGTTGGTGCAACCACTCTGGAAAACAGTATGGAGGTTCCTCAAAAAGTTGAAAAAAGAGCTACCATATGATCCAGTAATTGCACTACTGGGTATTTACCTCAAAGATACAAATGTAGGGATCTGAAGGGGTATGTGCACCCCGATGTTTATAGCAGCAGTGTCCACAATAGCCAAACTGTGGAAAGAGCCAAGATGTCCATCGACAGATGAATGGATAAAGAAGATGTGGTATATATATATATATATATATATATATATATATATATATATATACACAATGGAATATTATGCAGCCATCAGAAGGAATGAGATCTTGCCATTTCAACAACGTGGATGGAACTGGAGGGTGTTATGCTGAGCGAAATAAGTCACTCAGG